GATTAATCGATTATTAAAACAATCGTTAGTTGCAGTCCTAGATGTATTATTAAGTTCTTACTCTCTATACCATACGTCAGAACCAGATCAAGAGTGTGATGAAGGGAGTGAGTAGGTCTGTGGACATTTTGAGTAAAACCAATTGACTCAATTAGATTACTAAAAGCTATATTTAAGCTATCACTTTCACTGCGGGCCGGCTGTGGCAGAGTAGTTAGGGGAGTCGTCCTGGAACCGTACGGTCATTCATTAATTAACAGACTTAGAAGAAAGAGATCTGATGTTTAATAAGCCGCACCTAATAGTTTAATTTTTTTGTTCTGGTAAAGTAACTGTGCTTAATTTATAAGATTTTTATGATTTATTTTTCTAGAGTTTTTTATTTATTTAATTTGGTCTGTGGGTGGGCTGACACAATCAGCCCACTAATTAATGGGGGTTTGGGTGGGTAATAAAGGAGAAGCAGCAGAGGGGTGTGTAAGACTACAACTCTGCTTCCTAGTCTGGACTCTGGATTGTCAATCATTTCTGTGGTCAACAAAATCAGCTAAATTCTTAGAAAGGAGAGTGGCCCCAGTCAGGGTGGGATGGATGCAATCTCTCCGCATCAGACCAGGTTTCCCTCAGAAAGAACTCCAGTTATCTATGTAGCCGATGTTGTTTTCAGAACACCACTTCGATGCCCAGCGGTTAAATGAAGATATTTGACTAAACATTATTATCACTGGTCAGGTTGGGGAGGGGGCCAGAGAAAACTACAGACTCCGACATAGTCTTTGCAAAGTTACAGACCAAAGCAACGTTAATTTTAGTGACCTCTGATTGGAGTAACCTAGTGTCATTACCACCGACGTGAATAACAATCTTAATGTACCTAGCATTAGCATTAGCCAGTAGTTTCAGGTAGGATTCTAAGTCGCCAGCTCTGGCCCCTGGAATGCATTTAATCATGGTTGTTGGAGTCCCTAAATCCACGTTTCGGACTATGGAGCTGCCAATAACCAGAGTCTGTTTCTCGACCGGAGTGTCTCTGAGTGGGGAGAATCGATTAGAAACATCAACGGGTTGACGGTTGGGAAGTTTAGATTTAGCACTACGCTTTTTCCGGGCCGTCACCCAGCTAGCTCGGGGTGGTGGCCTCGCGGAATCCACTGAGGGAACTCTTACAGGAGAGGCTTCTCTCGGCGGCTCAATGCTAGCCTGGCTAGCTGTTGGCTTCTCAACAGCGCGAAGCTTCTAATTCAGACAGCCTCGCCTCTAAAGCTGCCATAAGACCACATTTAAAACATATGTTGCCATCACTAAAGGAGGCAGGGGAGGAACTAAACATCTTGCACACGGAGCAAGTGAGGAAAGATGAGGTCGGAGAAGAAGTAGCCATGATGTTATGCAAACGTTAGCGAGAGCTACAAGATCCCGAAATACACAAATAAAACCAAGAAGTGTTGAAAAATAAAAGATGTTTTAAGCACAGTCCCAATAAGAACAAACTATATCAAGGGTGATTTAGGACTAGAAGTAGAACTGTGCAGGTAGATAATCCAGTGAGTTGAAGAAATTCCCCAAACAAACAAATTGTCGAGCACCAGCTGCAAAGCAGAAAATGATACAATATGTTACCCTAGGTCTATCCTCACCCTGTTTCCTGAAAACAGGAGCAGGTATACGGAGGAAGACGGTTTGGTAGGAACTCCAAAGTTTGTGGTGCTTGTTAGCAGAGCAGTCTTTAACTGTCAGTGTCCTGTTTTACGTTGATTAAAAAAAACTTTATTCTGAAGGCGTGGCGGCTTTTATTTTGCTGTGGCGGTGCGCCACAATCAATTACATGTAGGGGAAACCCTGCCCGGTTAGTATAACTTTGTTTATAAATATAAGTAAATTATACTGTCCCCTAACCTTCAATAACGGCCACAGTAAAATACAGTGCATATCTATAATGCTTGCATGAAATGGACATCTTAACACTAAGCGAGCAGCCTTATTTTGTAATAACACTAGTGTTAGCACAGACTGTTCTAAAGTTGGCCATTCTAGATTTTGTTTAGGTGCACAACCACAAAATTTAGGTGCACCCAAATGTTTCACAGCTCTCTGTTAACCACAATATTACATTTTTATATGTCACTGGTGTAAAATGATAAAAATGTGACAATGTTGAATAATTGTAAAAGTGAAGAAAAATTCAACTATTACCATTTCAACTTTAGCACAAGTAGAATAAAGCAAAAACCCTATTTGTGTATTTTATAGCAGAAATTTAAAAGTGCAGATACTAAAAGTATTGGACAAATTAAAAAAAGTCAGTTCAACAAATTGTTTGCATGTATTTTGCTTGTAAATTTTGTTTTTTTTTAACAATATTTAGTAACTTAGTTAATTTGACTGATATTGAAATAAAAATGTATTGAGTAGAATTGTAAAGTCATTCCCAAATGCATACTTTGACTGCTTTGACTCAACATTTCTTGAATTTGCACATAAGGTATTTTTCGAGGTTTGACCAAAACAGATATAACTCAGTCATTTCTCAACAGAAGACAATCTTAATTTAAAACTGCATGAAAGGCAGTGGGCAATATGCATGCTGTTCATGCAGTTCCTAATTAAGACCAGTAGCTCAATTTTAGACAAAATGTTATAATTTCTCTTGTCATTTTTGCCCCTGAACGTGCAGAAAGGACAACTGCAACTTGATGCAAAAAGAGAACAAATTATTTGAATCTTCTGCATGTTTGTTCTGTCATTAGTGGCATGTGGAATCAAACATTGGAGCAGACAGTGGGTACAAGTGATGCTTAAAAAATGGAGCCAGTTAGTTGCTGGGCAGTCTCAGTGAATCTGGGCCTCATTGTCCCAGACTTTACAAAACAGAAGTACTTCTATAAAAGCATCAGCTTCAACTGCACTTAGACACATTTCTATAGACAGTAGTTTTTGCTCAGTTTATTAAACATTGTCAACAGCATTATTATGGTACTTCATGTAAATAATTATAATTTAAATATAATTTTGTCATCAGTGAATAAATATTTCTGATAAGTAGGAATTTAAAATGAATGAAGAAATTTCGAGACCTGTGTACATAATTACTTGTATATCTCAAATTTTCTGTTATTTTGTAATTCTTCTTTTGCAACCTGGATGATACCATGAATCTTTGAGGATGAGAACTGTTTGTTCTCCTAATCTGTTAACGTTTCTATTTTCTTTGGCAGGTGGAGAAGGAAAAGATTCAAGACCATGAGCGACAATGTTCTTATGAGCACCTTAACCTGCTTCTGCATTTCATTATGGGCATGAAGGTGAGTCTGGAGAGCCTGCAGCCCCAGAGCCTAGAGGTGGCCAGCCAGAGGCTGCAGGAGCTCCATCAGTCCCTTAGAGAGCTGGAACTGAAGATGAGAGAGTTGGGTGGGGGTGACACGGCTCTCGTGCAGGGTGCGTGTGCCACGACCCTGTCCACCTCCTTCACTCCCCTGCCCAGTGCCATGGGTGCTGCCCTGGAGCTGCAAATCCAGAGTGAAAAGACTAAGGTAGCTGAGCTGAGCCGGCGCTGCCGGGAACTGGAGCTCAAAGTGATCACTTTTGAAAACATTGTCTGCGTCCTTAATCGAGAGATGGAGCGGTCCTGCACCACCATGGAGGCCTACAACCGACAACATCGATTAGACCAGGACAAGGTTGAGATCCTCAACAACAAGGTGAAAATGGGCTTCATTTCTTACAGAACCGCCGCTTAGCTACCGCAGCCACGTCTGTGTAAATGTTATGTACGAGTAATAACTTACCTGTTTTAAATAGATTCTGAAAAAAAGGAGAGATGGTTTGGAGAATTATACTTTATTTCTGACAGGACCAATGAGCTACCAAAATATTAATGACCAAACACAGGGAAGTTGAAGCCTGAATGGCACCTCCAACCCTGTAGGCAAGCTGCAGTATAAAATTAGGTCCATGTAAATATGAATAAAACCTAGAGCTTGATCTAGGTGGGATTTTTACAATACGCCCACACCACCTGAACTGTCTCCTCTCAATGGGAAAGAGCTGTGGCTTTCCTCAATCTCTCCTAGTTAACTGAACTTCTCACCTTCTCAATTATACTTCAGAGAAAATTTTTAGGGTGCTTTATTTGTCATCAATGCATGTTCCCATGCAAGGATGAAATTTGTGCTTTGCATTTGACCCATCACACATGAGAAACGCTCAAGTGGAGCTCTGTGAGCTGCCCAGGGAGCAGTTGGGTGTTGGGTGTTTTGCTCAAGGACACCACGACATGTGGGCATGGCGGGGAGTCGAACCTGTGACTTTCTGGTCCCAAGTTGGCTTTTCTACCTCTAGACCAGTGGTTCCCAAACTTTTTATCTTCTGACCCACAAAATATCCATGGCAAAAACTTGTGACCCCAAATATTACTGGTCTGGGTACACGAACTTTGTTAATAACCCTAAAAACACAGGCTTTTTGACAATCTAAACAGCTTGTACACAAATATAAATACTTATTAATACTTATTTTGTCTTTTTGTAATAATTATAGGGAAAATATTACATCATAAATTATTTTATTATCCTTTAAATTGATTTCTGGAGATTATCCAAGGTGCTTCATGACCCATAATTGGGTCCCAAGCCCAACTTTGGGAACCATAGTGCAGTGGTTCCCAAACTTTTCAGCTTTTGACCCACAAAATAACAGTAGCAGAGACCTGTACCCAACTATGTTTGGATGATAAACATTTGTATCAGGTCAACTAAACATGGGCATAGTAACAATATTTTTATACTACATTTATCCGTTTTAAATATACTAACCTCACTCTTTTGTAACAACTAAGGCAAAAATGTAATTAATTCAGAAAATCTTTTCAGGACCCCACCTTGATGTTTCGGGGCCCCACTTTGGGTCCTGACCCCAACTTTGGGAAACACTGCTCTAGACCGCAGCTGCCCATCTTTTTTGTTTTTTATTTTTTTGTATTTAGCACTGCTTGTATAAGGACAACAAATTCCAATTCCATACACATGGAACACCCCCCTACACTGTACTTCAAGGAACACAGTTGAATGCCTTCAAGTCCACAAAACACATGTAGACTGGATGAGCAAACTCTCATGACCGCTCAAGGATCCTAGTGAGAGTACAGCTGGTCCAGGGTTTCATGGTTGGAACCCACACTGTCCCCCCTGAATCTGAATTTAGACTATTCAGACTTTTTTCCAGCACCCCTGAATAAACCCTAAGAAGAGTGATGCACCTATAATTGGAGCACACTCTCCGGTCCCCTTTTTGAAGAAGGGAACCACCCTCCAGTCTACCAATCCAGTGGCACAGCTTTTGATGCACATGCATTGTTGCAAAAGCATGTCAGTCAAGGCAGCCCAGCAACAAGCCTTGAGGAATTCAGGGCAGATTTCATCCACCCCTGGATCCCCTATCACTGTGCAGCTTTTTAACTATCTTGAGTCCTCCGACCCAGTTTCTGTAGGGGGGGAGGGGGTCGTCTCTGTTGTCACGGTCACCTGCTGTCCCTTTAAGCTCCTGCTCCATCTGCTGGGCCTGGATCATCACACATTTGTTCTATATTTAACAGGTTATGAGAGTCATATAAACTGATCTACAATGAAAGAAGAATAAAATATTATCAATAACAATAATCACGTACCTGTTGTGAGATCCTACTTATCAGCTCCTCTTCTAGTCTCATCTACACTTCATCGCCCACTTTTGTTTTAAAGGTGGCCTATTATGGGGGTCTTAGCACAAGTTAGGATCCATCTGTTGGCTATACAAAACATGTTCATTTGATTTAATTCACAAAAAGAATATCAAAAAATTTAATTTCACCTTTTCAGTTCTTCCTCTTCTTCAGCTCTCTCCAGTGCTGTATGCAGAGATTGCTATGGAAACCCCCTACCCTATCCCCCCTATCCCTTTGTTTACTTTAGCTCCGCCCCCCGACATGGTAGAAGTTTCCAAAGTGAAATTACTTTCACCAACTACAGCTTTCTTTGGCAATATTGTTAGAACATTGTCATTAAAGATAAAAATAAAATTAATCCAGGCATCTCTGTTCTCCATGGCTGCTGTAAAAACAGCAGAACTATCGTCCCGTGAAGAAGTGGGTGAAGCTTCACCTCGGGTTGCCTCGTGAGTAGCAGGACCCTGGTTTAGGTTGCTAGGTGACTGTTATTGGGACGTTAGAATAAATGGTAAATGGTAAATGGACGGAACTTATAGAGCGCTTTTCAAGTCCCTCCGGACCCCAAAGCGCTTTACACTAACAGAAATTCACCCATTCACACTCACATTCACACACTGATGATGGCAAACTACACTGTAGCCACAGCTGCCCTGGGGCACACTGACAGAGGTGGGCCATGCACCGGCGCCACCGGACCCTCTGACCACCATCAGTATATCAGTTATCAGAATAACATGCTTTGAGAAAAACCATGTTTCCAGATACCTAAAAATACACATTATTACAGCTAAAAAACCGCTGGTGTTTGGACTGCTTCTCTAATCAGTAGAGACCCAAAAGTAAGTTTAAAAACATAAAAAAGTGAGTTTTGCATAATAGGTGCCCTTTAAATCTTGGATCTAAGGCTGTGCCCTCCTCCAAGAACTGCCTGATGCTCTCATCCTGCAAGACAAAAACATTCTATAGTAGTCATGGTGTTTCTGAGTATACCTAATAAAACTTCTGCTACACACTTGGTATCGTTTTGAGAAGTCACCCCAGATCTTTTCCTTCATGGTCTGTGTAAAGGAGGAGTCCTCATCAGTACCTGTGAAGTGGTGTTGGAGTTTTCCCAAGATGAGCAGAACCTGGCCCAAAGTTGGGCTCTTTTCAGCAGAGATGCAGATGGTTGAAGTAGAGTATCTTCTTAACCAGGGCCGGTGCTCCGCCCACGTACACCACTCACTGCGCATAGGGCATCAATTGCCTATGGGTGGCACAAAAAATCAGGTTCATGAAAAAAAATCCTCATGACAACAACAAATTTAAACAATCAACTTTGATCAAATGCAGTGTTTCCCCTACCATTAAACAAGGGGGGCGGTCCCCCTGCCAACGAGACGGCCCGCCCCTCTAATGCTGCGTTCACACCAAACGCGATTTCAGCATCAGGAGCATCAGGTTTACATGCAAAGTCTATGGTGGACGCG